CACCCTTCTCCCCTAAGGGACTCAGAGCATTTACACACATAGGCAAACATTCAATGCCTTTACAATCATATACAACAAGACAGACAAACACAAACAAAGGTAGAGGCTTCTCCTTTCATTTCTGGAATCTGGAGGCTAATCTCTGGCTCTGGGTAGGTACTTTTTTCCTCCATTTTCAAGCCAAAGAGCCTGTGTTATCACCTCCTGATAGTGTGGCCAGCAAGATTGCTTGGAACATCTCTTTGCCTTTTCCTGCCGAAGCGGTACCTATTTCTCTAATAAATAATAATAATAATAATAATAATAATAATAATAATAATATCTTTATTTATATCTCACCACCATCTCCCAAAAGGGACGTGGAGTCACTTACAAGGCACTACAAGTGTAGTACATAACATAAGCAGTACATGAGTATATAAACAATATCACATAAAAGTTATAAAAACACTATTAATACATCAAATAAAATGAAAACAAAAAAATCCAGTTTAAAACGCAGACTACCTATAGTTAAAACTAGCTGTTTTCAAATCGCAACTAAAGTGCTGAAGTGTCAACCTCATATGGACCCATTTCAGCCAACTCGATACCAAAAGCCAGCTTAAAAATTCATGTTTTTAGGCTGGATCAGAAGGAGTCAAGGGTGAGGGCTAACCTAATCTCTTTTGGGAGAGTATTCCAGAGCCTGGGAGCCACTACAGAGAAGGCCCCCTCTCTCATCCCCACCAACCGTGCTTGAGACGGCGGTGGAACCAAGAGAAGGGCCTCCCCTGCCAATCTCAAAGCCATGCTGGTTCATAGAAAGAGATGCAGTCTTGAAGATAGGTTGGACCCAAAGCATTTAGGGCTTTGTAAGCACCTTGAATTGAGCCTGGAAAATTATCGGAAGCCAGTGGAGCTGCTTGAGTCGGGTCATAGTATGTTCCCTATAGCTAGCTCAAGTTAATAATCTCCCATTTGCATGTTTTCAAACTGCTAGGTTGGCAGGAGCTGGAGCTTACAGATGGGAGCTCACCCCATCTCGCGGATTCAAACTGCCAACCTTCAGGCAGTTTAACCCATTCCACCAACCCGGCTCCTACAATACTACTACTACTACTACTACTACTAATAATAATAATAATAATAATACCTGTAATAATTATTATAATAGTTAGTTTGGAGTATGTCAGTTTCTAAGTTTCAAAATAAACTTCTGAGCTCTGAACAATTTTGAGAGTTAGACTTTTAGTTTGCACACTAATAACTAAAAATGGTTCTCAGAATGCTGTGCATCCAACGATTGCAAACTAATATGACAGAAAATAAATGCATGTCCATAAATTAATATTGGATTAGGGGACAGATTGTTTTCTTGAGTAACAAATCTGGATATTCCCATTCGGTATTTTTAGTTCAATATATACATTTCGTTTTTGAGAACCTATCTATAGTTTGTAATCCATTTTCCTTGGCCAGAGACATGCCGTTTGCTTACGTGATTGGACGCACAAGCTTGAAGCGAAATTGCACATAATATGATATATAAGATCTCAGGAGGATTCAGACAAATTCTCACGATTATTGGCACAACTTCTCTGCCTGGCTCCCAAATAGGAAATCGAGTCTAAAGCAGTTGACATGTGTATTATTACACTCCTGTTGCGATCCCAAATAGTTCCCAGAAACAAACATTCTAAGTATAGCAAAGTATACATTCTCAGGTTTAAGTCTTTCCTGCTGTGCTCCCATTTTATTCCGTACTATGATACGTTAATTTAACGTTGTTTATTTATTCCATTGGAATAAGTGAAAATGTATGTCACCATAATATATCATGGGTTATTGCTTCCATATTGTTCTGAGATGGGAGAGGAGATGAATGCTTACTTAATTACTTAGGCGATCCCTCGTAGTCCGAGGATGATGGTCCTCCAAGTGTGGTGTCCTGGCGGTAGGTCCGTAGGTGACTGTGGAGCCCTATTCTTGACCTGCGTGTTCTCCCGCAGTGAGGGCATCAGTTTCCAGGTGGAAGGCGGTCCCACTCGGGGTTGGCTTGATGTGCCTTTCTCTTGGCACATTGCTCTCTTTCACCCTCCATTCATGCCTCATTGAATTCCACAGTACTACTGGTCACAGCTGACCTCCAGGTGGAGCGCTCAAGGGACAGGGCTTCCCAGTTCTCATTGTTCTCAGGTGGAAGGCAGTCCCCATCAGGGTTGGCTTGATGCACCTTCCTCTTGGCACATTTCTCCCTTTCACTCTCCATTTGTGCCTCTTCAAATTCTACAGCACTGCTGGTCACAGCTGAATTCCAGGTAGAGCGTTCAAGGGCCCGGGCTTCCCAGTTCTCAGCGTCTATGTCAGAGTTTTTAAGGTTGGCTTTGAGTCCATCTTTAAATCTCCTTTCCTGTCCACCAACATTCCGTTTTCATTTCCTAAGAGCAACTGCTTTGGGAGACGGTGGTCGGGCATCCGGACAATGTGGCCAGTCCAGTGGAGTTGATGGCGGAGGACCATCGCTTCAATGCTGGTGGTCTTTGCTTCTTCCAGCATGCTGACATTGTCAGCTTGTCTTCCCAAGAAATTTGCAGGAATTTTCAGAGGCAACGCTGATGGAATCATTCCAGGAGTTGTGTATGATGTCTGTGGACAGTCCACGTCTCGCAGGTGTATAGCAGGGTTGGGAGAACAATAGCTTTATAAACAAGCCCCTTGGTCTCCCTACGGATGTCCTGGTCCTCAAACACTCTGTGCTTCATTCAGAAGAATGCTGCACTTGCAGAGTTCAGGCGGTGTTGTAATTCAGTCTCAATGTTGATGTCTATAGACAMTCCACGTTTCYCAGGCATATAGCAGGGTTGGGAGGACAATAGCTTTATACACCAGCACCTTGCTCAGGCAGTGTTGTATTTCAGTGTCAATGTTGACTTTGGTGGAGAGGTGACTGCCAAGGTAGCGGAAACGGTCAACATTTTCTAATATTATATAATTAAGTTGTATTTCTGGRWTTGCAGAGGGATTGGTTGGTGACTGCTGGAAGAGTACTTTGGTTTTCTCGATGTTTAATGACAGGCCGAGCTTCWTGTTTGCTTCTACGAAGGTGTTTAGAGTGGCTTGTAGGTCTTCTTCTGAATGCGCACAGACAACGTTGTCATCAGCATATTGGAGTTCTATAACAGATGATGTTGTAACCTTGGTTTTGGCTTTCAGTCTGCTGAGGTTAAATAGCTTGCCATCGGTCTGATAGATGGTTTTCACTCAMGTGGGAATCTTCCCGTCAACAAGATGAAGTATCATAGCAATGAAGTTGAAAAATAAGGCTGGGGCAATAACACACCACTTTTGGACACCCGATTCCCCCTAAAATGGGTCACTTTGGGAGCCATTGCTGCCCAAGACTGTTGTTATCATGGAGGAACCACAGGATGTTCACAAATTTGTCAGGACAAATTATCTAAGGGCAATCAGCATTCCAACTTTTGGTTTTCACTAATGGCTTCTCATAAAGTCTGATGGCAAGATACTTCTATAATATTTACTTAGAAGTTAATGTAAATGTTCCTCTTTACAGGTCCTGTCCATTTTACTGCTTGCTACAGGACAGAGCTGAACAATTGCTGTTGATTTGCACCTTTATCACCCCTTAAATTATTCACCTGTTAACATGACTACTGATTTTCCTTTCTTTTTTTGGTTAGTGAAGTAGCTCTTAACATTTGCTTTTCCAAAGGAAAATTATTTTTGTCTCCAACAGGTTATTATTGTGTCTGATCTTTCCCCTTCTGTTTCAGCTTTAAACGAGCCAACCATAGATTATGGGTTCCAAAGACTCCAAAAAGTTATCCCGAGACATCCTGGTGACCCAGAAAGGCTAGCCAAGGTATGAAATTTACTAACCTTTTCAGCACAATTGAACAATTTATATCTGGTTGATTGACAGAGTGACTTTAAACCAGTGGTTCTCAACTTATGGTGTCTTACAACTCCCAGAAATCCCAGCTGTTAGAATTTCTGGGAGTTGAAGGCCAAAACATCTGGAGACCCACAGGTGGAGAACCACAGTCTTAAACAATTCCATGGTCTCAGGTAGATGGGTATAGCACGGGGAATTGACTCCCATGTGGCCCACCAAAGCCTTTTGGCCATGCATAGAGTACCCAGAGAGCTCCATCAGTGGGGGGGAAATCATTCAAAAAATGGACAAGGATACAGAGATCTTTTGACATTGTCCTCCTTAGCCATCTTAATGGTTGGAATATAATTGAAAGCCTGCTGGTCCCATTACACAATTCTGCATACATGAAAGATACAATGGTACTGCAGTAGACTCTCAGTTAAGTGGAACTCAGTCAACTGGAACTCTCAAGCAACCAACAAATCATCAAAATAATACTTTAAAAATTCAAATTTTATTTATTTATTTATTTATGGCATTGATATGCCACTGTGCTGGTATGTCTGTACCAGGAGCTCCAACTTTATTTTCTTTCTATTAAATGTTTGCATGCATTCCAAGGCTTCAGGGATTTTGCAAAAGGTGACTTCCCTTGGTTTGCAGTCATCTGTCTATCATTGTTAAGTTTGGATCCGCCCCTTCTCCCAGGGACATGGGAGGAGAGGGAGCCATTTTTAGATAATCTTACAGAAGGAAACCAAGCTATAGGATGTGGAGTAGCTTCACCCGCAGAAAAGCTTCACTTCTTAGGAAGAGAACAGTCTCAAAGCTCTGGTAGGGAGCTTACAGCCTCTCAGCCTTATAGCATCTGAGGGAAACAGCCCTAAAGGGTTTCTTAAGAAATTCCGGGGGAAAGCAGCTTTACAGACCCAAAGAACTCCAGCTGGAGAATCTGCAAGCCTTTACTGGTAGGTCTACTTAGTGCTCAAGACGCAGTTTGAATCCGGTAGTAGAACCCACATCAGTAAAGCTTAGATAGTAGATGGCCTGGAAGAGGTTTAAAAAGGGTTTTCCTCTTAAAGTGAAAGAACAGTTAACGAAGATAGTTACCTGTCCCTTGAGGACAAGAGTAAGGAAACCACCAGTTGACTCAAAGCCTTGAAGCATTTGTTTGACTCATTGAAGATTTGAGAAGTATCTGTTTAATTTGTTCAATAATAAAGACCATTTCTACAGGAAAACCCTTGAGGGCCTCTCTTCGAGGCGCCCTGGCTTCCCGCTGGGCACAAAGTGTACGTCCTATTCAAAGTCAATTGTTACAGGCCCAGCACGTGACAGAACAGCCACCCTTCTCACCCTGAAGGGGACTCAGAGTGGCTTACTAT